AGACTGTGGGTGAATGCAGTGGCCTGCTTATGGGGCTGCTGGGGGGCTGGGAGCTGGCTGGGGGGGACTTTGTGGGGGCTGGGGGTGAGCATGCGGAACTCCTTATGGGGGCTTCTGGGGAGCTGCTTTTTGGGCAGTTGAAGGGCTGGGGGTGATGTCTGAGGGGCTGGGAGCTGTTTGGGGGGGAGCTGCCCCCCCCTGCAGCCCAGCCCCTGTGCTCCCAGGTGCCGGTGACTTTCGAGGACGTCGCGGTGCACTTCAGCAGGCAGGAGTGGGCAAGCCTGGACGATGGGCAGAAGGAGCTGTACAGGACCGTGATGGAGGGCAACTACGAGACGCTGGTGTCCCTGTGTAGGCTCTCTTTGCGCTGGTTTGGCAGCCGCCGTCGCTGCCCGGGGAGCTCTCTCGGGGTTACTTTTCTGCCTCGTTGCGTTTCACTGGGATCTCCAGCCCTCAAATGATCCTCTCAATTCCCTGTCCCCTCTGGCAGTGGTCGGAGGTTGAGCAGGTACACGCAGGAGGGGGTAGTAAGTGCTCGGTGTCTTCTCCTCGTGGAGAACAGGTACACTGAGCTCCCTGGGTTGTCGTCACAGAAATTCCCTCTTCGACGTCTGTCTAGATCCTCGTGTTGTTTCCCGTCAGCGTGGCGGATGTGCCGTCCGTTTGTCCTGGCGTGGGGACGGAGGCTGGTCGCACTCCCTCGTCGCAGCGGGAGAGCAAGGCAGGGGAGAAGATCTCATGGGGCAGAGTTTGGGGTGATTCTGGCTGGATTTTCAAATGTGTGGCCCTCGCAGCTGGAAATGAGCTTTCCAAAAAGTCTGGTTGGACTCGATGATCTTAAAGGTCTTTTCCATCCTAAATGATTCCATGATTCTATGACACCCCGCTTAGCCCAGCCAGGGCCTCGTGCTTGTAATTAAATCTTTCCAGTGCTCAGATGATGGAGCAGGGGCCTGGACGTCCCAGCCAGGGCCGCCCCCTCTTGCCGTGGGACTCCCCTGCAAGTGCTGCCTGAGGAGCCAGAGCAAAAGTGCTGAGGAAGGAGGTGAGGGGCGAGCGTAATCCCAAAGCAGGGCAGGGAGCTCGTGGCAGTGCCTCTTGTCGCAGTGGGGCGAGTCGGCCGTCCATCCTCACCCGGCACTGCGCGCTCGGCCTGGCTGAGCTCCTGGCTGGTGGGGAGCAGCAGTACCGATGTGTGGTGGTTTGGAGCAGATACAGGTAGTGAGGCCAGGCTACGGAGCTGCGGGGAGGTGTACCCGCGCTGACATTCAATCAAGAGCCTTACAATTCTCTTCCTGTGCTTCAGGGTGTTTTCCTGTCTGCAAGGTGAATTTCTGGGGGGTTTCTGTAGCAGGGGTTTCCCCCACGTGGAGCAGGGATGGATTTTCTTGCAGTTGTTGCCGGGAGGGGAGGTTGTCAGACGTGCCAGAGGGTGCTGCTTTTCAGATTCCGCCCTAGAAGTGCTGCCTGCTGGCCCCGGTCTGTGTCCGTAACTCCCCGTGTGCCGGCACTGACGCTGGCCCGGTTGGAGATGAAGTTTTTCTGGGCTGGGACTGACTGCGTTGACAGGCTGTGGGTGCACCCGCAAAGACGCTGTCGCCTCTTGCCTCTGATGTCTGTCTTGCTCTTGAAACAGACTGTGCCCTATCCAAGCCGGAGCTCTTATCTCGGATCGAAAAAGGAGAAGAGCTGTGCACGCCGGCCGAGTCAGACCTGGAGGGAGCAGACGTATCGCCAGAGCTAGCCGTAGGTGCGTGACACTGGGTTTCTTCCGTGCCAGAATCCTGGCTCCTGGCTGCTTACCGGGATGATTGCGGTCCCTGCCCTCAGCCGCAGGGACTGAGGTGTCTCCCGTGATGGCTGTGGACAGTCTGTGCTGGGAGAGGACACAAGGGAACGTGCTGGGACACGTCGATAGCCTGGAAACCTTCCCCTGACCCAGCAGCTGCTCTGTGCTGCAGAGATCCTGATGCCCTGTGGGCCCGGGAGCGGGGGACGCCCGCCGCTGTGCTTGCGCCTCTGAGCTCCCGGCTGGCTGCCGGTAAAGCCGAGTGCCCTTCTCCTCCCCAGAGCCGGACCACCCGAGCTGCACGAGCGATGATGGTCTGCTGGAGATGAAGACAAAGGAGCCTTGCGAGGGGAACTGTAGGGACCCGGAGGAAAGCGGGAGCCTGGCGGTCACAGTGAACTGCAGGGCGCGTGAGTGGCTGGCACACCCAGCTGATGCGAGGGATCCTGGGCCCCTGCCCGGCTGTATCTCACCCAGCATCATCACCGCTCCTCTTGCCTTCGCAGCGCGTGTCCCTCATGAAGCCACCGCTGTCCCAGCAGATCTTAGCCAGCCAACCCCGTCCCCTTCCGCTCCTCTCTCCACGTGCTGTTGCGAAGCGGTGGATCTGAACTGGTCTCCGTCGCCCCCGCCCGCAGCAGGTACTGGGACAGAGCCCTTCAACCCTCCCTGGCGGGGCTGGCAGCCTCGAGGAGCGCCAGCGTGCTCAGAGAGCAGCAGGAGGTTTGCACGGGGCTCTCTCTGGGCCTGGGGCTTTCAGGACAGGGTTTTACGCGATTCGGACAGGCCACGAAAGGGTTCTGGCAGTAAATCCTGCTGCCAGCCTTGACACCGTAAAGGACAAGGCGTGGCATGGCGTGAGCCAGCCCACCCAGTCGATTTGCTTCGAAGGATGAGCCCCAGTGTTTCTGTTAGACTCCCCCCATCCCGCCTAAGTGACATTTGTCACCGCAGACCGCCCTTGGGGTGTCTGCAGGGACGAGCTGTAGCAGTCCAGGTGTGAAGACACTGAGCTAGAAGAGGAGAATGGGGCTGAGATTTGTGCTGGCTGGGGAGAGTGGGGGAGGCGAGGGGCGGGGGCGGGAGGAAAGCCTCTTGCCGTTTACGGCCTTGTCTTCAAAACCGCGTGGAAGAGTGATATTTGGGTTCTGAAAAACTTCCAGCAGATGCCGAGGTGGGGATCCCAATGGAGGTACTGCAGGAGGAGGTCGCTGTGGAGAAGCCGGCAGTGCCTGAAACGCCCCCGAAGGGTCTGGAAGAGGAGGACGTGAAAGATTCGGGGAATGGTGGCCAGGGTCCGGCGGGGACAGGGAAGAGAGCACCGGGATGGTGGGAGAGCACCAGGATGGGGGGAGCACCGGGATGGGGGGAGCACCGGGATGGGGGGAGAACACCGGGACAGGGGAGAGAGCACCGCGATAGGGGAGCACCGGGATCGTGGGAGAGCACCGGGACAGGGGAGAGAGCTCCAGCCCCAGTGTTTCTGTTAGACTCCCCCCATCCCGCCTAAGTGACATTTGTCACCTCAGACCGCCCTTGGGGTGTCTGCAGGGACGAGCTGTAGCAGTCCAGGTGTGAAGACACTGAGCTAGAAGAGGAGAATGGGGCTGAGATTTGTGCTGGCTGGGGAGAGTGGGGGAGGCGAGGGGCGGGGGCGGGAGGAAAGCCTCTTGCCGTTTACGGCCTTGTCTTCAAAACCGCGTGGAAGAGTGATATTTGGGTTCTGAAAAACTTCCAGCAGATGCCGAGGTGGGGATCCCAATGGAGGTACTGCAGGAGGAGGTCGCTGTGGAGAAGCCGGCAGTGCCTGAAACGCCCCCGAAGGGTCTGGAAGAGGAGGACGTGAAAGATTCGGGGAATGGTGGCCAGGGTCCGGCGGCAGACGTTCCCGAAGAGCCGGGTAAGGAGGCGATACCAGATGTCTGCAGAGCAACGGCACAGGCAGATCCCGGCTGCGCGGTCGCCTCCCTGGGAGAGCCCGTGGAGGGCTCCTGCATGGGCCGGACTGCTGCCTGCCAGCGAAACTCCACCCGGGAGAAATTCTACTCCTGCCCCGTGTGCAGGAAAAACTTTCTGCTGAAGATCAACCTCGTCATCCACCAGCGGAGCCACAGCAACTGGGTGCCTTACATCTGCGTGCACTGCGACCGGAGCTTCATGTCCAAGAGGAAAATCCGGCATCACCTGCAAGCCCGGGCAGCCAAAGGGTTCTGCCAGCCCTTGGAGGCGGAGGAGTGCTCCGGCCAGGCCCCGTGCCCTGCCTCCCAGCCCCGAGCCCTGAGCAGGGACTGCGGCACGGTGTGGGGGAAGCCCAGCCCCAACAGGTACCCGCTGTCACCTGGGAAAATGATGTATACGTGTAGCGAGTGCATGGAGAACTTCTCCAGCCAGAGCTTTCTGGTCCTGCACCAGCGACAACACACTAACCGCCACCTCATCCTCTGTCCCTGCTGCAACAGGACCTTCACTTGGGCCTCCGACTTTGTCCGCCACCACCGGACCCACACGGGCGAGCGGCCCTACCAGTGCGGCGTGTGCCAGAAGGCTTTCAAGCGGCGCTACCACCTGATCGTGCACCAGAGGATCCACGTGCGGCAGAAGAGGCCGTACCCCTGCAGGGACCAGCTGCCAATGCCGGTGGCACCCGTTTAAGCGCAGAGAGGGACGCTGGAAGCGGGAAGTGTAGCGGAAGGGGGGGTGG